ACCACAGGGACACATCATCTTCTGAAGAAATTATATGGGAGTCTCGGGATGGGGAAGGACAAGATAGGAATGTGAAGGGGAGAAAGACACCCAAGAGTGAGAAAGGAGGGTTGAACTGACAGAGAGCTAAAGCTATGTTCATAGCCTCGCCCAGGGGTTCCGCGGCTGTGCTCTGGGGCTCTGTGGGGCCTGGGTTCATACCTCAGATCTGCCACATACTGGCAGTGGGGCCTTTCCCCTCACTTGTCAAATGTGATAATAATGGCACCTAACTTACGGGATGGTTGTGAAGGGCTTAGTACTGTGCCCGGCTCATGGTAACTCAGTACGCAGTAGGCGGGCTGTCGCTGTTATTACCAGCAGCGGAGGTCTAGCCTGAGTAAAACGGTGGTCCAGAAAGAAGCTGTGACAGAGAAGAGACTAACTGCCACTGATTCAGGCCCCGTGACTCTGTTCTCATGAACAGCAATGAAGACAAGGGAACCAGAGCAACGGTCAGCCCGAGGCTTCTTCAGCTGTAGCCTGTGGACCAAAGGCATCAGAACCAGCTGGGCCCCAGCCAGGAAATGCAGAATCCTGGGCCCCTCATGAACCCGGCTACGTCAGGACTTGTGTGGGTAGGTCCCGGGAACCTGAAGTTTAAAAAATCTTTTTAATTAGCTTATTTTTTGAAGTATAGTTGATTTATAATGTGTTAATTTCTGCTGTACAGCAAAGTGATTCAGTTCCACATAGACATACATTTAAAAAATATTCTTTTCCATTATAGTTTATCACAGGGTATTGAATATAGTTTCCTGTGCTACATAGTAGGACCTTGTTGTTTAGCCATTTTATATGTAATAGTTTGCATCTGCTAACCCCAAACTCTCACTCTGTCCCTCCCTCCTCTTCCCCTTGGCAACCACAAGTCTGTCCTCTATGAACCTGGTGTTTTAAAGAAGCTCCCATGTGATTCTCATGCACATTAAAGTCTGAAAACACCTGGGCCAGACCACAGGTTCTGGAGCGGCAGAGATGAGTCTTGTCCATCAGTAACCCCCAGATCTACACAGCCCTGGTGTGAGGTAGGCACACTCTCGCACCTGTTCCTATTGCCAGCGTTCCTTGGCTGAAGTCAGAGAGGTGGGCTTGAGCAATCATGCATAAAACAAATCTCTGTGTGTCATGTTTTAAACGTTCAATTTAGAGAAATTGCACTGGCAAATCAAGCCTTTTACATCACTGTAAACTTCACTGAGCCCAGATACTACATTCTGGATTGCCCATTCCTCCTCTCTCCACGGCTGGAGTCACCTAGTCTTGACCTCGGGCGTAGCTCAAGATGACCTCTGACCTTAGGCTAGAGGGGTGTCAGGATATCTGGCCCAGCACCCTTGCTGTGTCCGTCTCTGTACCATCTCCTCTCTTCTTGGGCACCATCCACTGCCTGCTGCAGGAAGGCCTGAGGCCCACCTTGTCCCCCAGGGCCTGCGTTCATGTCTTGTTCCCAAACACCGAGCCCCAAAGGTCATGGGTCCTCGAGGCTGAGATTCTGTCCCCAGGCCAATTTAGGGTTCTGCCGTCTTCTTGGCAAAGCTTCCAAATTCTGGTCTACTTTCTAGGGCCTTCAGATCTCATCTGTTGCTGAAGTCCATCTGTCACCAAACTCCACCTGCCTCTCAGGACACCTCCAGTGATCCCCCAAATCATAGACGGCATACTGGTAAGCAGCACAACCTGGGTGTAAGCTTGGCTCTGCCATTTGGTAACTGTGTGACTGTAGGCAAATGGCCCAGCCCACCGAGCTCAATTCCTGCAGCCGTGACAGCCCTACTTCACAGGGTTGTTACGAGAATCTGGCGAGGTCACACACGTCAAGTCAGGCACGGTACCTGGCTCATATAAGGGCTCAAGAAACGCTGGCCACCAGCACAGAAGCTCCTCTATTCTGAAAGCTTGGAAATGCAAGCAAAACTCCACACCAAGCAAAAGCACCACCAGCTGCCCAGAAGGTGGCACTGATGGTCACTCAGAGAGTCACTTTGGACCTTGGAACAAATGGACTTGTGAGCAGCCTTTTCAGAACTCACCTTTCAATGATAATAATAATAGTAATAACAATAACAACAAGAAATACTTAGGTTTTACTCATTATAAACCAGGCACCGAGCTAAGACTATTACTCATTTGATCCTTTCAGTAATAAGGCTGGTACTTTATTACCCCATTTTACAGATGAGGAGACTGAGGCACAAGGTCACAGGACTAGTAAGTGTCAGAGTCCAAACTGAACCCCAGCTTCTTCCTGGCTGCAGAATCTATGTACTTAACCACTATTCTGCTGCCTCTCTTAAGTAGTAACATTTAGGAATCAAAATAATTACTATTGGGCTTCCCTGGTGGTGCCGTGGTTAATCCACCCGCCAACGCAGGGGCCCCAGTTCGAGCCCTGGTCCAGGAAGATCCCGCATGCTGCGGAGCAGCTAAGCCTGTGCGCCACAACTACTGAGCCTGCACTCTAGAGCCCACGAGCCACAACTACTGAAGTCAGTGCTCCTAGAGCCCGTGCTCCACAGCAAGAGAAGCCATACCAACAATGAGAAGCCCGCGCACCGCAACGAAGAGTAGCCTCCGCTCACCTCAACTAGAGAAAGCCCGTGCGCAGCAACAAAGACCCAACGCAGCCAAAATAAATAACTAACTAACTAAATAAAAAAGACTTTGCGCTCCCAATGCAGGGGGCCTGGGTTCGATCCCTGGTCAGGGAACTAGATCCCACATGCATGCCACAGCTAAGAGTTTGCATGCCACAACTAAGGAGCCCGGGAGCCGCAACTAAGACCCAGGGCAACCAAAAATATATATATAATAATAATAATAATAATAATAATAATAATAATTACTATTCCCTCCCTCCCTCTTCTCTTGCTATAGGCCACTGGCCCAGATGCTTGTCCTTGTCCTCTACCTTGGACTCCTTTACCTCCCAGCTGAGTTGGACATCCTGTCAGCCCAGGTTCATTCTCTGTTATCTGCCCCCCCAGGTAAGTCCCCACCTTTCTCTATGGCTGAATGGGCTGGATCCAGTCCCATCTTTAGGTGGGACACCTTGACAGTATTTGATGAACTTGACGAGTGAATCCTTTCTTAAGGAAAAACAGTCATTCACTTACAATTTATGTGTCCTGGATAGTTGTTAGATTGACCTAAAACAGGGTATGTCTGTAGCACGACCGATTGCAGATTATTTTTCCAGTAGCTTAAATCAAGGAGTATTGCATTAGCCAAGTAATGCCTATTTGATGAGGTGGAAGGGATGTGTCTTCCCCTCTGTATGGTCTCTGACTGCTGGAAGCTGGCACAGGGGGGCCAGCGGCTCCATGACCTGTAACAGTTTATTCAGGGTCCACATAATGCGCCTCAGCAGAGTGAGCGAGCACATCTCTGTCCTGGCATCAGACATCCCTTTGCTAGGTGTAGATAGAACGCATGGATGTCTGTCCACTGTCGCCGTGGAAATATCATCATCAGAGTTGGTGCTACCTGCCTGTGAAATCAAACCATTTAATGCACTGGATGCTGCTTCCTTAAATCCTTTTTGGAAACTGCAAGCCATATATGTGTATGTGCACACCAGATTTGGGAGGAAGTTTACAAGTAACTCAATGTCTTGTCCCTTAATTTTTTGTGTATTAACTTTGTTTTTGATAAAGTACTGCATTTACAAATCCATTTCCTCATGCTAAAATGGTAGAATCAACAGAAGACAGTCAGGTACACGATCTCAAAAGGGGAATTTCCTCGGAAGCCCTCAATGACCAACACAAAGAAAACAAGGGGAGTTTGCAACTGTGAATCACAGTCTCCACCAAAATCCACATTCATTCACCCAGACAGCCCTGGGAGGCAGCTGGCCAGCCCTTTGCTAGACACCACTTGGCAAAGCTGATTTCTCTCCAACCCTTTGCCACTGTTGGGCTGGCTCGCCCTCACTCAGAGCCCAGTTCACCCTCTGCCCGGATGATTGCATCCGCCCACCGGTGTTCACGGAGCTAAATCATAAACAGTTGCATCCCTATAGCAAATGAAAGGGAAAGTGCCAGTCACCGAAGCAGGAAAGTGGGGGTGGATTTAAACAGCTGGAGAGAGCACAGAGCATTTGTGTCTGCTGAGGCACAGAGTGAGCTCTTGCACCTGAGAGGCGAGATAAGTGGGTGCCCTCTTGGGTCTCTGAAAAATGGGTCCGTGATTAAACACCTGAAATTCCCACCCCAGCACCTGGAGGTCTGAAGTTTTCGAACGCTCCGTCTAGAAGCCTTGCATACTTTTGGCATATAATAGTGACGTAGGTGTGGATAGCGTCAGTGCCAGAGAATGTGCCCAGTGGCTAGCCATTCCCATTCCCTCTCTGCCGGTGCCTATCTGGAGGGGCACTGAAATGAGGATGTGATTTTCAAAGAAGATCAGGACAGTAAGAAGTAATCCAGGTGACCAGCAGGGCCATCAGAATCCCACCCTCTCAAACACACTCAGATAATCCTATGTTTCAGCCCAACTTTGATATCAAAAGGTTGAACAAATCTAAGGTGCCCACCCAGTGGACAGGATTTCTAGGTACCTGAATTTCCAGGCTACCTAAGAGGGTAAGTGTGGCAAGCAGGATGATGCCAGGCAGGCTCACGAAGGCCACAGTGTCCTGCTGA